GAGCTGCTGCATTGCTTCCAAAAAATACAACTACCTTTCTTTGCCCCCCTTGACACTGATGGCAATCCCAGGATCACAGCAGCTAAATGCTGCCTGGCTAAGCACTGCTTTGACAGCTTGCTGGGGAGGCAAAGGCTGGGTACTAATTGAGATTACATGGAGCAGAGCACCATGACCCATGCAGCAAGCCATGTCACAGAGCAGCACACACACTGGCAGGACAGGTTGAAGCTTTCACTGGTGTCTGTGGAGAGCAGCTCTTCCCATTGTTTCCCATCCATTAGCCACTGGTGGTGGCTCTGAGCCATTCTCTTTCTCTAAAAAGCTGCTCCAGCAAAGATAGATTTGTTCCTGGAAGGAGCCTGCCTCTCTAGTTGTGCCTGGTCTGTGGAGTGATTTCCATAGTAACAAATGGTGGAATTGCATCAGGGAGTGGAAGCTACAAAAGAAGCCTCATTAAAATCTAACTGTCTCAGAGGTGTCACTGGAAACCAGCACAGTAGGCATCAGAGAAGAAGAAGGCCACTGAAAGGCTGTGCTGAGAGAAGTTCCATTAACTGCTGAGATGATCATCTTCCCGGAGCAGCATTTCTGCCCTAGTTCCCCATCCACCTGTCCCAGGTGAGCTCACCAGGAAGCACTGCTGTCCACCCAGGCTGCCTTCTTGCTCCTGCACCTCAAAAAAGCTGTGACTCCATTTGTTACCCACCTTCCTTGAGCCTGCATGATTTGGGAGATGCAAAGTTTGTTGGAAGATGTAATACAGATACATGGAGAGAGCTGGAAAACTTGGACAAGGTCTCTTCACAACAGCCCTGCTAGTTTTTATCACCTTCATCTCCATCCCCAGCTCACAGATTTCTTTGCTCAGTTTCTTTGCACAGAAAAGCTGCAGTAGCAGCTGTATTCAGCTTGTGGCTGCCTCTGTCCTGAGACAAACCCAAAGCAGATGTCAGACCAGCAGAAGATCCAACAAACATGATGGTGTGTGATCCAGAGAGCAGGCTCAGATTTCTCTTCACCTGCCTGAAGGCTGTTGGGCTGAGAGTTCACCGGGCTAGTGTAAAACCTTCATCCAGCAAGCCGCCTTCACTCTCCCAGTCTTAATACTGCAGGAGGTCTGCAATCATCCCACTCATGCACCAGGTCCCAGCTCTGCCAACTCATGTGCTCCTGGTACTGGAGACCTGCAGCAGAGGCACGGGTGGGATGCCTGTCGGCTGTGCTCTTGCTGCACTGGGGCAGGGCGCTGTAAGACACGCTGGTAGGGCTGTAGTTCTGCAGGGAGAAAGACTCTTGCAGAGGATGAAGTCTTTGTAGGGGATAAAGTTCAGAAAGGTGGGTTCCCCCCCCATCCTTTTTGCACATTTTTAACCATTTTTACTCCTTCCAAAGAGGTTCTTGAACCTTCTGTTTAATAAAGGAAATGAGCCACCATTAAATAGCTTTCTGAAGGGTCTGAAAGCAGGCGCTACTTGCATGCAGAGCTGGTCTGTGCCTACCAGGCAACTTCCAGACCTCACTGTACATCCTGTAGCTGAGTCACCCCGCGCGCTGTGCAAGGACTGGGGTGGAAGAGTCAGCTCTGGCCATCATACCAAACAGCCATGGCTTCCCAAACGGAAGAAGAAGCAGACCAAGAAGTGGGGGAAGTAGCAGCGACAGTAGAAGGATAGCTAGATGTCACAGGTAATCTTTGGTATCCGTGTCCCGTGGTTAGTCCTAGAATTGCAAGCCTTGTTATATTGCACACGTCCTCCTTCCACTCCTCTTTTCTCAAAGCAGCCATTGCCTTTCCTGCCCCCCACCCCATGCACTAGTGATGAGCATCAGAGGCAGTTGCACCAAAGTGACGCTCAGCCCAGTTCTGCATCCCCCTCTCCCACCCAAACCCAGGGCAGCCCAGACAGTTGTTGGCCATCACAAGTCTAGTAACTCGGCTTGGGTTTCTTTCCTCGTGTACCATAGCTTCCTCAGCACACACTCTAGCAGGACAGTACAGGGGGCTCTCACCGTGTCCCAAGAAGCTTCTTTGCCCCCTGGCAGCACCTTGCAGACATGCACCTTACTGGGAATGTACTGGGTCGATGCTGGTGAGATCTGGCGCTGCTGATTTTGCGTAGGTGGCAGCTGATGGGGATCCACCGGGGGAAGCTGGCAGAAAGTGGCTACTGTCCCTTTTCTTTTCATTTTTGAGGGAGAGGGGGATTTTTTTGGCATTATGATTATTGTCCACCTTCCAGTGGCCAAGTTCTGGGCTGCATTAATAATTGGGGTTAATTGGCTGTCCGGGCAGGTATGGAGCTTTGCACCAACCTAAGTAGCAAATGTCATGGCTTGATCCAGAGCCTGGGTACAGTCTGGGTTTCTCCCATGCTGGCAAAGTGCTTTCAGCAGGCTCCAGATAGACATTTCTGGCAGACAGGGAAACAGCACTCCTCCAAGTCTGGAATAAATAGCACTTCCATTTTGTGTCCTCAGCTTGGAAAAAACTCAACCAAGCAAGTATTTCCCAGGTCTCCTTTCCCCGTGCAGTACCTTGCACCCAAGGCGAGGCGGGGTGGGGGGTGGGGGGGGGAAGCATTTCAGGATCACCAAAAGCGCAAAGTCCTTTTTGGGTGGATTTAATGGAATTATCTTTCAGGAGGAGAGACCTCCCGACCTTTGCATTAATCTCAAGAGCAGGAGATGAGTTTCCAGCTGTCCTCGCATATAGTGAAACATAGCTAAAACAGCCAAATGCAAAGTAGAGTTAAATGTAGGATTTGACCTGAATAACATTTAATTAGGACAATAGGTTTGTTGTAGCTTGACCTTAGTCCATGTTAGGAACCTGCTAATCATTTGACATGCAGAGTGTATTAATGCTGCACTTAACTTGGCCATTGGTTTTACTGTCTGGTTTTGGGAGTTTTTTCACTCCCAAAGCATCAATCTGCATCTTGTATAGGTTTTCTTTTCTTTCTTTTTTTTTTCCCCATTTAGAACATGTAGCACACTGTTGTACTTCTGTTCCTGTCTGCGTAGAGTATTGCCTTAAACAGATCAGTTGTGTTGTGGTTAGTTTTGGGTTTTCTTCTACCTACCATCAGTTTTATTCATTAATTTATTTTAAAATGTGGGGTTTTTTTGAAAAACATAAAACATGTATAATATTTTTTTTAACATTTCCATTGCAGTATTTATCATTGTTACTGGTTGTGTGTAGTGTAACAGAATTAATGATATTAAAAAGCATACATATGAAAACCAGCCTGCCAGCCTTTCTCATTGGTGCAAACCAGAGTGAGAGGGTATGCACTGCACCATCTCCTCTGAGACCCCATCAACTGCGGATGCTGAAATCAGCCAATACCAGCCTGTTTGAGACCAGTGCAAGCGGCTGGCATGGAGCTGTGCTGTATGGCACAGGTAATCCCGCTGGGGCTGGCTAGTCCCCAGCCAGCATTTGGGAAATACTTCTCCCCAAGGCAGCGGGAAGCCCCTGCATCTGGGCTTCTGACAGAAGCAGAAAGAAGTGCTGTATCTGTATGACACCGGTGGGTGAAATAGCCTTTTCTCCAGCCTTGCAGCTGTCTCTGCCCCTTGAAGCTGTTGGCACTGGTTTTAGAATCCAACACTAGCAGCTGGAAACCCCAGGGCCCACTGGGGACAGGGGACAGCTGTGGCACAGAGTGGGGGCTACTGGCTCACTCTGGCAGGCAGCCTGGTGCAGGATGAATCCCCTTGAACTGAGAGGCTTGGACTCCACCTCTCTGCAGTGCAGGACTCCCCATATCTGCACCGTAAGATGCTCTGAGGCCACTGGGTGTGAAGGGATGGGGGCTAGGCATTGCTGACACCCTTATGTCCACCCTTCCCTCGCAGCCTCCCAGTGGTTCCCAGGAGGGGACAGGGCTGCTGGAGAGCCTAAGCCTAGCTCAACAGAGACCAGCAGGGTGTGAAAATCAATGGCAGCTTGTTTCCTTCATTTCGTCTCTAACAGCGTATTAATGGAGGCATTCGGGTGCACCAGGCTGCCCAGGCCCACCGTCCCTCACAGCAGAGTGCAGTACTCGGCAGCCTTTCAGGGGTATGGGCTGGCATCCACCCTGCCAAGATGGACATTGGTTTTCCTTCACCAGTCATCCCCAGAAACTGGCAGCAAAGGAGCTGGAGCCAGGAGCAGAGCAGGGCTCTGAGTTGGCACTGTGTGACGAGCCAGGCCACAGCGGGATTTTTGCAGGGGCAGTGATTTCTGCTCCACTCTCCAGCTCAGGGAAAAGCAAACCCAGTTCATGCAAGTCCCTCCCTGGCATAACCCAGCTGCCTCTCTGCACCAAGATGGATGAGGATCACTCACTCTGACTGCAGAGCCCATCACTCAGAACAGAAGAGCAAACAAGCCACACAAGATCACCTAAATTCAGCTTTTTAATTAAAAAAAAGGAGACAGAGCAGACAGTAATTGCCCTGATTACCCCAGCAGGCAGACAGCGGTGCCTGGTGCTGTGCCCCTGGCATCGTCTGCACTGGTGAGCTGTGTGCACACAGCTGGGTTGCAGCAGGATTTCCAAGGAAATATGGGAGAGAGGAGCTGGAAAAGCCACAAGCATAACTCCTGTACCTCCCAAAATAAAATTGCCTTTACTAGAACCAGATGAAACTGTTTCCTACCATTGTTACGGTAATTGTCCGCAGGAGGTGAGGAAGCCGGGAGCCAGGACAAAGCCAGGGGGGTGCGGCCTATGGAGGGATGCCGGCAGCAATTGCTATGCCCTAGGCTAGAACCAGAGATCTATGGGACTGACAGAAAGCCATTAAATCCCCCTGCCCCCACACTATGACATCACTGATAACATAAGCACCACCCTGGGGCTGGCAGAGCAGTGGCACAAGCCCCTTTAACTTTGCTGCGTGGGCTGCAAGCCCCCAGCCCCATGTAGTGCTGTTCATGCAGTGGGGCATCCCCGGGATCCTCTGCGACTCCCAACACTTCTGTCCCGGTGGGCTGCTGCACCATGTTGCTCTTCTCCAATAAACACAAGACCCCTGTCAGCACTTACACCGACTCGTACCGCCCGCCATGCTCTGTCAAAAAGACCTACCACGAGCAGGATCTACAGCCGCTCTGGAAAGAAAACAAGTTTGTGACCCAGGTAAATGCTGCAGGAGGAGGAAACCTCAGGGTTTCTACCCCTACCCAGCTGCGGATGGTCAGTGTTGGGCAGGAGGGTGGCATGGGAACTCAGGGGATGCCTCACTACATGTGTGTAATGGGGAGGGTCATGCTCCCTGGTTAGGAAAGCAGTTGACATCCCACAGGCTGTGCTCGCTGGCTTCTTGTCCCCTGGAGCTGCACCCCATAGTGGGTTTGGGCTCTCAGGGCTGGCAGTCACCAGCACGAGCTCACACATCAGCCCTGTCCATCAGTAGGTTTCAGAGTGCACAGGGGACAGGATCTGCTGAGGAAGGGGAAACTGAGGCAGTGCCAGGGCACAGCCCAGGGCTGCTATGTGACATGGTGGCGATAGTGGGGGGGCAGATCAGGTGGCTCTGAGAACTGCTTCAACACACAACCCCCAGGCACAGCTGGAGGGGGGCCTTCCATGCCAGGGGAGACCGTGCATGGTCGGGGGTGAGTTCTGAGCACCGAAAAACCCTTCCCAGCCCTGATCCTGGAGGTGGAGGAATCCCTGAGCCATGGCCTCACTGCAGGGAGTATCTGTGGAATATGCAGCCTTCCCCACGCGGGCTGACAAGTGCACAGGCTCCGATGAAGTGCACACTGCAAACTGGCTCATCTCTTGCAGCCATGTGCATTACAACGAGGGAGCCAGCAGAGGGCATGGAGAGGTGTGTCACCGCTCTGCAGGGACAGAAAGGGCTGATACAGCCAGGGCACCCATCTGCCTCACAAGACTCCAGCCCTCTTGGGCTTTGTAAGCTGTAGGACATTGGTTTGCTCCTATAACTCCCTTCTCAACCTCTGCTGGCCCCATACCTGGCCATCCCAGTGCACCTACCCCATCTCCCTCTCTGGAAGGTGCCCAGATGCCTATTGACACCCCGGATGCAGGAGGAGAGGAGCCAGTGACACCCAGCCACCCTCTGTCCCCTGGTTTTGGGCAAGTGAGAAGCTTTAGGGGGGAAATACAGTGCCACTATGACCCTCATGCGAAGGGAGACTTGGTGCTCAGATCTCCAGCTGTGTCTCCAGCATCAGACCCTGCCCAGTAATCGGTTTCACCATGTGCCCCAACACCTGCAAAGACAGGTGCTGCAACGTGGCCTGGATGTCTCTCCCCGCTCTCCGCTGTCTGTAGGGATTAACGATGCCTCCAGCGCAAAATCCGACAAGCCAAGGTCAGCCCGAGCAGCTGATTAAGATGTCAATGCAGGAGTGCTACAGGAACACCATTGCTGCCTACTGGCCCGAGAAGTACTGGCTGTCCAGGTCCAAAGGTACTGCCGAGGTCCCAGCTGTCCCCCTGTGTCACACAGGACATGTCCCCATGGGGTTGGAGGGCTGAGGGTGCCAGCAGCAGCTCTGTTCATCCCCCTTTTTGCATCCTGTGTGCCCACCCCGTGCCAAAGGGACCCTCCCACAGCATCTGCGCTTGTGGCTTTGCTGCGGCCTCCCTGCCCCATCCCCGCACTGAGCCTGTCCCAGGGATGTCTGCAGGTTCCCAGGGTTCCCTCCCTCGGTGGCTGCTAAATACCCCCTGGTGTCTGAGGAACACCATTCTGCCACCCCATAACCACCAGAGACCACAAGTGACCAATGAGCTGAAACTGGTGGACTTCCATCAGAGATCCCTTAACAAGGACCTCAGGAGCAGCACCTCTGACGTGTCCCCTGGTCCTGTGGCATGGCATTTTGGGGAGAGGGGGAACAGTCAAGTCTCTTCAGCTGTCCCCCTGCAACCCCAGCACTACGGGACACCCTTGCCTATTGCTTTTGCATTGCAGAGAAGTACAACCCAGTTTTTGTCAATGAGAACAAATACATCTGGAGAACAAGTCCCTACAACAGCATAGCCTGGAATAGGCACTCGTCTTACCTCCCACTCCTGCACAAGGTAAAGCCCAGCCCCCCCAGCCCTCCCCCAAACTGGAGCCATCTCCGGTGCTGCCAGCACCTCAGGCTCTGCCAGCACCTCAGGCTCTGCAACGAAAACGTGGCAATCCTGCAAGGGCTGCCATCACTCCTTGCAGGAAACAAGGATGGAGACCTTCCTGCACAGCATACCTGGGCCATACATCCCAAAACCCACCTGCCTCAATGAATTTGGTAGCTGCCCTCACCCTGTCCCTGTGTTCCCTGTAGCTGTGCCTGTGCCATGCCAGCAGTCACCCTTATTCTCGCAATCCCTCCACTTTGCAGAGAGGGATATGGTCGCCAACATGTTGCACAGGCTGTCATGCCACTCCCCACCATCTCTGCAGCCTCTGTACACCATGACGGGGAGGGGGCCCTACCAGGGCTACTACAGCCCCTGCTCTGGGCGCCACTACTGCCTGCGAGGGATGGACTACTATGTTGATGGGGCCTCTGCCACCAGAAGGCATCTCTATGCGCTACAAGAGAGGGCTGTAAGGTTGGGATGGCTTTGGTTGGTGGGGATGGGATGGGTTGCCTTGGGTTGGAATGGGTTGGAGTGGAATGGATATGACTCCCCCTTGCCCTCGGTGCCACCGCTCACCCTGCCTCCTCTGTCTTTTACAGGAGTATCCCGTGCTGCAGTTACAGCCCCAGAGCAGTGTTCTGTACCTCTGCACATCGCCCCCAGCCATCCTCCCTGTGCAGGAGCCCTAGGTGCACACAGATTCAGGGTGGGGGGGAGCCCTCCAAGCCAGTTGTCCTGGGGGGAAAAGCCTATTATTTTTTTCTAATGCCAGCCAGCCACTAGCTCTCTTTTCATTAGGGTTTCAAACAAAATTGCTCAGAGGGTTTTTCTGGGGATGATGGTGCAGACTGCAGACCCCTTGGGATAGTGGGTCCTGTCACAGTGCCCATGCAGGCAGTGATGCAGCCGCTGCACATCCATCCTGCAGGCTAAGTGGACGTGACCAGGGAGGGCAGGACACCATTGTGGTGCTGGGCTGTGGAGCATGTTGTTGCTACCTATGGAGAAGCAGTTGCCAAATTTACTCTCAGGACAGGTGTTTCTATGCTTGGTCTCATCCAGTGGTGCTTTGGACTGTACACCACCTGAAATCTTGCTGGCATCTTAGCATCTCCCAGATTTTGGGGGCACATCAGTCTTTCTTGTGCTGCTCTTGTATTTTCTGTTGTCATTGTTTGCTCTTCTTATCCAAGAACCCATTCCCTGGTCATGCTGTTTGTTATATGGTAATCGGCCACGTCCTTCACCCGCTGCAGGTCCGCAGCACTGTTTAATCCCCACATGTTTACCTTCAGGATGTCTCCGTTGCCGAGGCAGCTTTTTTCAGCCCTGGGGAAGCAGCGGGGGGAGAAGCGAGGCTGTTCAACCAGCTTACCAGCTTAGTCATCACTCTGCTACTGCATCAAACCACCCACCGTCCTCCATAGGCCAAAATTAGGTGTCAGGCTTTGCAGAAAACGTGCAATTGGTTTTAAATTCCTGAGCCCAGAAACCAAAACCAAACATCAACAAGAACAAACAGGGAGTGCTGGGTTCCCCATAGGTGTTCCTATGCCTGAGACCTGGCGAGATGTTTTTCAAGGTCTTTTCCACTGGGAAACAGGGAGATTTTCCTGGACTGGCATGACACTGGGAATTAAGGCTTTAGGAAGATCACAGTGCAAGAGAGGGTGGGTGTTTGCAGGGTGGGAGACCTGCTGGAAGCAGCTCACTGAGATGGCAATGACAGGGAGCTTCAGCTCTTCTGCCTGGACTTCACTTTGGCCTCAGCACCCAAAGACACACAGCAAAGTGCATGGGGACAGCTGCATGTCCACTGCTCACTCCTAAGCAAAGCTGGCAGCCAGAAGCAGGTTTTCTGCTTTTCTTCCTCACCGGAGTTTTGTCCTTCCATGGCTGATAACTTTATCTGCTCTTCTAGGTGGGACACAAGCCACTTCGAGAAGACAGGAGGAGTCCACAGAGGCAGCTACAGCATCCACCCTGAATTTGTCTCAGAGGCTTATTCTGCACCGTAGCACTGGTGAAAAGCAAAAACGGGCTTTCATTAAAACTGGCTTGGGCAACTGTTCCCCTCAGACCCTTTCCTACAGGCTGGGGAAGTCCCTGGGGATGGGGGGGGAAACTTCCGTCACTGCTGGGCACTTTTAACAGCCGTCAGGGGCTGGTACCCTGTCACCACCCACAAGCTGGAGACCAAGAAAGCATGCAAGGAAAAGCTCTCAGTGCATAGTAATACAGCCAGAAATAGAAGCAGTCGTTGACACCCGTGTTTGTCAACTTCATGCTGGGCTGCTTAGGACATGCTTGCTTTTGCCAAGTTACCCAGGAAGACCTGCCATCCATCTGGGATGCCAAGCACACGCACGGGCTAAATAAGGAGGGGGGACTTGAAAGCAGTACATAATTAATGAAGGCATGAAATACCCTTTTCTGACTAAGGAGTGGGAACAAGGCGTCAGTGGGGAACACCACCCGGCGCCTG